TTCTGACATCCATTTTGGTCTTTTCTTCCTCTTCTGTCTTTGTAATGACCGTTTACACTCTTCCTGAATGATATCTTTGACATCCTCCCACAACTCTCAGTCTTTTATTTCTTCCGATGTTCCCATTAGACACACTGCCTTTTGCACATAATTTTTATTTCATGTGTGATTAATTATGGTAATTTTCAAGTTCTTACGTATACAGTGTCTAATTTTATCCCTCTAGAAGGACTACTTAACAGCTTACTAGAGGCATAGTGATTAAAGTATTTAGCCACTCCATTGGGGGAAAATACAGTAGTTTCATTTTATAAAGATTCAAAATTAAAAAAAACTCATTACCCTTGTGTAATAGAACCATCCAGTAGCTTTTTAGGGGCTCGAAACCACAGAGGTGTATATTGTCCTTTTTTTTTTCCCCTGTGGAGCAGCTAGTGGATTCAAACCATGTGCCTTTGGGTTTACAGTGTAGCTCTTTACCTTAGGCTACCAGAGCTCTCATCATTTATAACTGGTATATTTTGATCCATTTTTATTGTTATGTAATGCTCTTCTTTGTCTTTCATAACTGATTTTAACTAAAGTTTCTGATATTGATAGAACCATCCCAATTATCTTTTGGTTAGTATTTGTGTGCAATGTTTTTTCCTCATCTTTTTCCTTTTGCCATATTGTGTCTAATGATGTATGCTTTGAGATCATGTACAAATGATAGATTATGCATTTTTATCCATTCTGGTACTCTTTTTATATTGATATATTTAATCTGTTGACATAATTATTGATAACGTAGGACTTCTACCATTTTGCTATTTTGTGTTTTATATCTCTTTTGTTGCATTCATAATTTTTTCTGCTAAGATTAGTAGCAGACCAGTTAGAAGAAGTAGGAAGCCAATAGTGTCCCAGATATTTGATCAACTGTGTAACTCAGTGATTTCTGACAGCAGCAGTTCCTCCTTCACTCAGTTCCCCTACTCCTCTGTGTCCCCTGGGTTCTATGGTTCACTGGAAGGTTTCATAGAGACTCAGATCATCATAGGAATGACTCACGTGACTATAGGTGTTGCAGACCAGTGTTGTAGAGACTGGTGAGCATTGTAGACTATCAGTTTTGATGAAGCTAGAAAGTTTGGCATCCCAAAAAGAAAAAGGTCCCATAATCTTATATAGGACTCTAGTAGGATGAGGCTTTTATCCTACCCGAATCCTCTCTCCACAATACTATAAATACTTCACAAAATATGCATTTAATCAATGGCTAGGAAGTACATTTTGGTGTTTGGTTTTGTTTTTTTTTTCTTTCTTTCTTTTTTACCTTTCTTTTAACAGTGTATACCGTCGCACAAGAGGAGATTGCCCTTCCTTCTCCAGGGGAGCAACTGGTGGATTCAAACTGTGCACCTTTGGGATTACAGCACAACTTCTTGTCAGTAGGCCACCAGGTTTCCCCATAGGAAAGACATTTTCAATGATAAATCTTTGACAGCACATTTGTTCTTTCTTGCCATCAGTTGTGTGTACTTGATTTTAGAAATAAATAATTTTATTTCCTTCTCTTTTCTTTTTTGACTATGTTGTTGTTTGGGCTATCAGGTCAACTGTGACTAATAGTGACCTAAGAACAACAAACCTGAATCTTGCCTGTTTCTTGTGCCATTTTTGCTATCTCTGCCATCCATAAGCCTTTTATGATAGTCACATACCAGTCCATCTCATTCAATCTTTCTCTAAAAGAAGGAAACTCACACCATGATGTCTTTTTTCAAGGACTAGCCCTTCCTGACAGTATGCCCAAAGTATGAAGTTTTATCTCCCTTTCCTCTAAGGAGCATCCTTGTTGCACTTCCTCAAAGATATAATATTTTTTTTCTTTTGACAGTCCATTCAGTATTCCTCACCACCACACAGTTAAAGCACATAAATGCCTCTTTGGTCTTGCTTATTCATTCTCCAGCTTTCAGATGGATAGCTAGCAATTGGAAATACCATGTCTTGGATCAAGTGTCCCTTTAGTCTTTAAACTGGTATGCTTACTCTTTTGGAGTTACCAGGTGGATTACAATTAGCAACTTAAATTATAAAAATTTAGATTAAATGTATTCAAATGTGAGTTTAGTAATATTTAAATAATTCTGTTCTTATTTACCCCTTTTTACTTGTTCCCATGAATTAAATATTTTTACATTATGTACATTAATTTATATTTCTGTTTTGCAAGTAGAATATCACCCATAAAGAAACAAGCAAAAAATAACAAAAATTGTCCCTTGTATTTACTCATAAGATTATCTTTTTCTGTGAGAGATCTTTGTTTTCTCTGATTGTCTTTAAACCATTGTCCAATATATTTTTACTCCTATTTAAATATCTTCCTGAAGTGTATAATTTTTTTCAAATTGTTATTTGAGTCAGCATTTACAAAACTAATCAGTTTTTCATTCAACCATTCATACACATCTTGCTTTATAACATTAATTATACTTGTGGAACAGACCACCAGCTACTCATATGCAAGTTCAAGCTGAAGCTGAGGAAAATTAAACCAAGTCCACTGGAACCAAAATATGACTTCGAGTCTATCCCACCTGAATTTCAGAACCATCTCAGGAACAGGTTTGAGGCCTTGAACACTAATGAGCGAAAACCAGATGAGTTATGGGAGGATATCAAGGGTATCATCCAGGAAGAGTGCAAATGGTCATTGCAAAGACAGAAGAGGAAGAGAAGGCCAAAATGGATATCAGAAGAAACTCTGAAAATTGCACTGGAGCACAGAGAAGCCAAAGCACAGGGAAGAATTCAAGATACTAAAGAGTTGAATAGAAGA